AACACAGTTAATACATTTTAAGTTGGTGGCCTTGCAGTTTTTCAGTAAGTGGCTATCACCACACCGAGGACAGTGAGCTTGGTTCTTACATTAATCAGAAAAATGGGAGAAACCACTGAAATTGGAACAACGCTTGATAGAAATTTCATCATACACGCCACAAACATCATACCCCACGAATAACTTACCCTTGTTGAAAGACATAATTTTGTTATAACTACCGTAGTCCAATTGAAGGATGCCTTGAAAAATGTCATCTCTTTTCTTGATTGTCTTAATTTCTATAACTTCACATTCACATTCAAATTTCTCACTTATCACCTCTTTATTTTGAGACTATCTCAGTCATGCAACAAGGCATGGAACAGGTATAAGAGAAGCTGCTTTTTCCTCATAATTATTTGGAAAAGAGTGCTTTGTTTTGTGACAGTCGTAGTTAGAATCCTCACAACTTGATGAAAAATACACACTTTGACGGGGATAGAAACTGTTTGGATATTTGGCGGACGAGAAAGCAGAAAAAGGTGATACCTACAGCATGATTCGAACGGTGTTTCGAACTGATGTCCATTTTTAAATTCCGAATAACAGTTAGACTCATTAACAATGTGGCTATCGTGACTCTTAGCCCAAGCCTGGTTATACCTCTATTATAGAGGCTCTATATACGGCTAAATACTATTCCGTTTGTTCTTTAAAAACAAATTTGAATCACTTTGGGATCTAAGCGTGAAAAAGCATTTCAAACGCTTACATAAATACATACATACATAAACTAGCAATAACTTGAGAATACCAAGTTGAACTAACATCAAAGCTTAAATTAGAAAGAATATTTTGGCATAACGTAAGCCTTAGCGTGTTTTTTGAAACATATCAGTGTCACAGACTTAAGGTCCGAAGTTAACTAATTATACAACTTACAAATACAGTATGAAAAAGATTGTTTATACTGAGAAGTGATGTGACATGGAGGACTTATCAAATTCTTGCTTCTCACATTGACATTATGTGATTCAACGCGCAATTGAACTTTACTGCACAAATACTGTGGTACTTGACGCACCATCACTTTATGATATAGTACCAGACAGTAAAGTATTCGGCGTTGAAACATTTTAATCCAATTTATCTCTTTAATTTTGTGACTGACGTGTTCTCCCCTAGGAGTTCGACAAATCAGACGCGTGCATGAATTTTGCATGAGCTGAATTCGATCATTGTCAGCTTTAGTTATACAGGAATGATAAACAACATCACAATGATTAAACGCAGAAAGGACTAAAGAATCGCACAGAGTACGTTTCCAATTGTGGCTCAATATCTTTCTTTGACCATAAATTAGATTTAATTTAGGAAATGATGCCCTAATTTTAATTGTGATGTAGCCATGAAAACGGAGGTCATTATCAATTAGGACGCCAAGATTTTTGACACTATCTTCTAAGCTGATAGGACTAGAAATATCATTCAACTTTTCCAAGTCTGCTGCTTCATTGCAAAAAACAGCAATTCCATTTTTTATTCTCTTAGTTCCATTAATACAAATATTAAATTCTGCAGGATTGACAGCTTGAGTTAGAATATTCATGACATCATGTTGGGATTTCCCATCTTTCGTTTTAACAAGAAGAACTGGTGACTCATTACTTGTATTCCTTTTCAAAACACTGCTATATGTTTGGCTCGTTTTTTGCTCACCTGGCCCTGGCACAAAAACAGCAACATCCTTTTTACTGGCAGAAAGGGAATTCAGATTTGATTGCAATTCTTGAACCTTAGATATAAGCAGGTTATTTGATAATCGCATCTCAGTTACCATATCCTCATATAATTGTTTTTCACGCTTGAGACACTCAATTTCCTTAAGATGTAGCGCCAGAATGCCAGAATTCGATAACTTGTCTTCAAGAATTTGTTCACAGTCACCACAGAACCAATAAATGCAATCAATTTTGGTTAACACTTTATATGCATCATCCTTCACGTTAACACACACATGATGGTATAACTTTTTGCAGTTTTTCCACTCAACAAACTTAGTTTTTACAACAAAATTATCAGAGCAACGCGAACACAGAAAAAATATTTGGATAAAATTTTCACATAAGGTTACTACTACTACAAGGCCCAAAAAGTTTTTGAAGATCGGTCCAGTGGCGCGGAGCTAGGGAATAGTTAGAACAACGATCATGTACATTTTTCTCAGGAGGAAGGGAGTCACTCATTGGCAGGCGATAAGTTTGAGTGACAGCCAACCTGAATCCGAAAATTGTGGAAGTGCGGGGTGTGACATATTTTCTTAGGGCGGGGCGAATCCTAAAAGGTCCAAAAAAAAAACAATGAACATAGGACTTAATCTGATTCTCTTCTGAAAATCAATACGATGTTGGACTAATTTCACTGGACAACAAATTTTAGTTTTTTAATTGTATCTTGTGGGAAAAGTGCACTTCTTTGTTAATTTTGGGGCGCTGAATCCAAAAATGACAATGAAATAAAAAAAATAGTTGCGGTTTAGAGAAAAAACTTTTTATTATTATATATTAAAAAAAGTAACAAGATTCATATACTTATAAGAATCACTATATGCGCTGTCTTTTTGCTGTTCTTTTATGGATCGTTTCTGGAGCATCTCTACCAAGAGTCTAACAGTAATCTGCAAGCATGGAAGGATTCCAATTTCTCTGGTACCTTTTTTCCATTGTTGAAATATCCTGATGAAAACGTTCGCCGTGCTCAAGAGTGATGGCTCCGCAATTGTAAGGAAAAAAGTCCAGGTTTGAGTGTAGGAAATGGATCTTAAGAGACATATTACAGCCCATCTTTTGATACGATGACAGCATATTTTTGACAAGGGTTTTATAGTTGTCAGCTTTTCTATTTCCCTAGAAATTAGTGACCACCACACGGAAATCATTCCAATCAGTTTTTTCAACAAAAATACCTTCTTTAACCTTTGCCTCACTTAGTCTTGGAAATTTCTGAGTCAGGTATTGAAAACCTGACCCATCTCTATCTAATGCCTTGACAAAGTTTTTCATTAGGCCCAACTTGATATGCAGTGGTGGTAATAATTTTTTTTTCGAATCTACTAATGGCATATGCTATACATTTTTTTGACCTGGCTCTAGGAATTGACGAACAGGCCAGTTTTGTCTGGTGTAATGAAGTGCCTTTGCCCGACTGTCCCATTCACACAAAAAACAGCAAAACTTTGTGTAGCCTAGCTGCAGCCCAAGTAAAAGTGCAACAACTTTCAAATCGCCACAAATATACCATTGGTGCTCATCGTATTTTATGCATGTCAATAGGTACTTCATATTGTCATATGATTCTTTCATGGGAACTGCATACCCTACAGGAAGAGATGGTAAAATATTTCCAATATGCAATAACACTGCCTTTAAACTCAATGTTGAACTGTCTATAAACAATCTCCATTCTTCTAGGTTATAGTTTACATTTAAAGCCGCCAGTGAGCCGTTAATGTTACTGCAGAAAACCAAGTTATTCTCCATATTGAAAAATGGTTCTAAGTCTTTGTGGCGTTTACGAAAAACACATACCGAAACATCGTCTTCTAACAAGTTCCACTGCTGCAGTCTTGATCCAAGTAACTCTGCCATACATTTTGGAAGTTCTAAATCTCTTACAAGATCATTTAATTCTGACTGTGTTATTTTGTGCGGTTGGTGGCATGACGTGCTCGGTATAAAATCAGGATCTCTTGACGTTGATGGCATATCTTCTTCCTGACGAATCACTCGATCGCCATGATCTGATTCGTTTTCTGATTCGCAAGTGTAGGATTCTGGGGGTTTTGGAATAGGATTTTCGTCACTGTGAGGCACAGGTCTCATCGCAGATGGTATGTTTGGGTAGTTAATAACCGATTTTAATTTCTTGGACATACCTGTGGCTTGTCCAACACAGGGTACCATGCAAAAGTAACAATCATTAATATGATTTGTAGGCTCTCTCCAAACCATTGGGACAGCAAAGCGCATAGACCGTTTTTTGCCATTTAACCAGCTCCTCAGACTTGAAGCACATGTATTACAGCAGATGTGGGGTGCCCACTGTTTGTCTTGATCACCTAGTTTACAACCGAAATAAAGCTGATATGCCTTTGTTATTAGTGGAGTAATAGACCGTCTCTGAGACGCAAAAGTCACATCACCACACACGTAACAAAACTGATCTGGATTGTTTACACACTTTCGAGACATCTTGCATGAACGCTGTCAGCCAACTGAGGAAAAAATGGCTAATATAAAACAATATAATGTACACGTATGTATAACGTAACACAATCATGCCGATTACATCATCTTTCCTTGCCGAATATAAAAATGTAGCACGTGCATTCTTGTGAATTACAGTATATTAACACTGTCACAGCAGGAACACATATAATTACCGTATCTCTAAAACTTGACCTAATATTGAAAAAATAATTTTCATTCCGGTTTTAGCACATTAAAAATAGTAATATTTTGTTGATTTTATTTAGGATATTGTTTGGCTGTTGATCAGTGTTCTCTATGAAGAGATCGAGTCCAATATTAGGTCATCTGATTGATCCAAAGTTGGACATCTTGTCAAGAATGGCCATATATCTAAAAAAAAGTTACAATTGGAAGCAGAAGCCGTCGAGCATTTTTGAGTAAAAGTGTTTTGAATGTTAAGTACCAAAAAGTTTTCGCTTTTCCTTTGAATTCTGAGCGACCTGCATCATAGCTTGCCGCAACCTTGCGTTCAAAAGGTTATGATGCAATAGGAAAATTTTCTGTTTAAGAACTGTCATGTTTATCATGTTTTGAATGTCGTAGATTTCAGCTGGCACTCTCACTTCTTCTTCTATCATCTTCAATACAGGTATATCTCTGTTAAATAGTGCCAATGATTCCTTACAGGTCGAAACGGTATCGGACACTGTTGGCTAGGCAGAAGAAATCAAATTTCGCTTCCAAATATAGCTAGTTGTTTTATACATGATGGTTACTAATGTGGGAGGTGTAAAATTGGCTTCCGCTGTCAGGACGCTTCACGCCGACTTGGCAGGTTGTATACGTACACTAGACGAGCGCGAGGTACAATCGTATCCAATCAGGGCTGCTGACCTCGCCTGCTGTCCACTAATTGCACGCTGCCTCTCAGGTTTGCCAAATCGACACTTCCAGCATTTCATCCGGGACGTGCACCCGAACCGGCTGAAGACTGTTATTCGGGAATGTCAGAGGGCAGCTCCTGCAAATTACTACGTCTTGCGGCGTCTTAAGGTGTTCTCTCAGGCAAACGTAATGACGGACGCTGCTGGTTACATCGCACTGATACGACAGCAAAATGTAACTGTGGCATCTGGCTTCGATTTCTGTCAGGTGCCCTTAGATCAGGTGCAAGATCAGACATATTAAGTCGGCGGGGGACTGTCGCCTGCAGTTGCTACTTGTGGTACGTGGAATATTTATCTTGATCGTTACAAGAAGATTTAAAGATAGCAGTAACTGAAAAGAATGAATTTATAATTGAGGAGCAGACTTGCAAAATGCATTTTGTCCAAATTTTCAATATTTGAGACAGAGGTGACGCTGCATTCCTATGATGAAGTACTAACTCTGTGTAAACATTTGAACAGTCGAAATGCATTTAGTCACCGTGTTATTAGGGGGGGGGGGATAGTAAATAGACAAACAAACTCATTTAAGTCCACTCAGTTTTTTATTAATGGATGGAATATCAAGCTGGCAGGGGAGCGACGGAAATATCTTCAGCCCTGCTTGATTTTTTGAAAAAGACCAATTTTTCCCCGAATATAGACACTCGGCTCTTCTCTGATGGATGCGGGGGGCAAAATAAAATTAGCTTTACCATCCAGATGCTCATGTTGTGGTTATACAGCTTTGCTTCAGAAACGATTAAAAAAAATAGAAGTTATCTGCCCAGTGCGAGGACACTCTTATCTTCCGGCAGTTAGAATTTTTGAGAGGGTGGAAAACATTTTAAGATGACACACCGTCATAAAAATACCTGAAGAATATTGTGAACTTTACAAACAAAAAGGTGAAATCAGAGAACTTGGAACTGATTGGTCATTGGTCAATATAAAACAAGCTTCAATCTGTTTGAAAAAATTCCTGGGAATTAGCTCAAGTAAAAGGTGAACATTTTTTTTATTTTTTTCAAGTTGTTCTTCGACTGTTTTGTACAAAACTTATAATGGATAATTATATTATATATATTATATTATCCCAAAAGTTTTTTCTCTTATGGTTAGTTTTTCTGTACTAGTTTTTTGCTCCTCCTGAAAATCGGTAAAAATGGACAAAATGCGATTAGCAAGCCTGCTCCTCGATTGTACTATTAAGTTGGTTCTAAAATATATGGACGTCGGTGACATGATACTTTGCGAGGCCCCTCCAATTTTCAAGTCAAAGAGAAACAGTTCAATTGAATTATGCACCAACATATTAGTATACGAGCTTTATTTCTCATCAATTGACAAAAACTAAACAAACGCAAATCAAAGTTGACGAGCTTTTCGGCGTTTAACCTCAGTAAATTGCTTCAAGTTTTTGATTATTATGTAAACGTTTGGATTTTCTAAAATGTGTTGGATAAGCTGCTTTGCGTCAATGATGGAACCTGGTTCATCAACGGGCATCAATTTGGAATTTTCAGTGACAATTAAATTAACGTGCTCCATCTACTATACTACAACTATTTAAAACTGTAATGACTCATACGCGTGATCAACATGTGATCAGAGCTCGATCCCGGCTTCCTTCCAGTACATATGTCGTTTCTGTGGCTTTGCGGTGGTCAACAGCACAGACAGAGATGGAAATAATGGCTGATTGTTCGCCGCCGGTAGAACCAATGAAATCAAAGACGCGCCTCGACCGGCAAACTCATAGGCGTCGGCAACGCATTGGAACGTGTTTCGTTGAGCGGTCGCATATTGTGTGTTTTTATAAGAATTGTTGTGTGATTGTTATTGTTGTGGTTTCTGTGGAGCTACTGCTGATCCAAAGTTTAATTTGAAGGGACGAAAGGCCGTTAAATTGGATGGCGATAGCAAAATGGCGTTAAGGCGAACCGTACATTCATTCTTCTTTAGGAATGAGATACCAACCCTCAAGGCTGTACATGCAGCGATCAAGGAAAATGAAATTATACCCCAAATGAGCGTCGAGGTAATGAGGAAATCCCTGCATGAAATCAATTTTCGTTACGAAACGCGTAATCGGTAAGTCAGTATTGATAGAGAGACCTGAAATAGTCGCCTGGCGTCGAAAATACCTACGCGAAATGATTGAATATAGGCGACAAAGCAGAAAAATCTATTATTTGGACGAGACATGGGTAAATGCAGGTCACACAGTTTAAGAAACCTGGATAGACAAAAACGTAGTGAGTAACCGACTAGCAAGCATTGAAGGTTTGTCAACAGGTCTTCGTGGACCATCAGGGAAAGGTCAGAGATTGATCGTAACTCATATTGGTAGCGATAGTGGCTTTTTAGAAGAGTGTGACTTGATTTTCGTCTCTAAGAAAGGAGGTGATTACCATGACGAAATGAATGCCAGCTGCTTCGAGAGCTGGTTTCAAGGGGTGCTTCAGCGAGTTGAGCCCAACTCTGTGATCGTCATGGATAATGCTTCCTACCATAGTCGTCGAGCCGAACGTGTACCGACTATGGGATCTCGAAAAAGTGACATGCAGCAATGGTTGCGCGAAAAAGGAATCCCGTTTGACGATTCATGTGTGAAAGCGGAATTGTATGAGAAAATTAAACAGCACAAACCTGCGAACATTAGTTACGTGACTGATGAGATGGCCCGTCAATGTGGTGTCACTGTGCTGCGGTTACCGCCCTACCACTGTGAACTGAACCCAGTAGAGCTCATCTGGGCTCAAGTGAAGGGTGATATTGCGCGCCATAACACAACCTTCAAATTACCAGACGTTAAGGTTTTACTTGAGACTTCCATACAGCTAGTAACGCCCGAAGCTTGGCAAAATGCTATCTGTCATGTTGCGAAGGAAGACACAAAAATGTGGCAGCTTGACCACCACATCGACACCATCATAGAGCCAGTTATAGTCAATTTCAACGAGGAAAGCGATAGCGACAGTTTATTACTGTCAGATGTAAGTGGAAGCGACGATGAATAAAGGTAATTCCCAAATTTTTGACTTACAATATGTTTCAAACCACTCTTTATTAAGCATGTGACAAATCTAGTTCACCCATGTTAAACATTCATACCCCGCCTATGAACAGCCGACTACTGGTAGTTAAGTGATGTTCACGTGAACATCGGTGAGTCATTACAGTTTTAGATAGTTATCCAAGTTATTCATGAAGAAGTACTGGTAACATTGCAGATAGGAAAGGAAATGCTCGATTCATGAACATAAATTCTCTTGATATTGGTTCTACTATATCCCAGATACCTGAAGAGCAGTAATATCATAGTTTTAGAATTCCTACAATTAAGGGGTGGCCCTCCATTTAACGAAATATGTTTTAGAATTTAAAAAACAAATCTAAGTCACGAGCTTCAATCCAATATAGTTGCGCTTGAATCAAGAACATCGCTTTCAGTGTGCAAGCAAAGTTCTTATTGCTATTTTTGCTTTGACATGTTCACAGCACATAAAAGTTTCCGGCTGTTTCATGGTTTCTGGTTATATTTGTTCTGGTTGTATGTCTGGTTTATTATCGATTTGTGGTTTGAATAATGGAGGGACTAAATGTTGGGTCCAACAAAAGGCAGTCCACAAAATAGAAGGCTCTACCCTTTTGACTGCTAATTGACCACACAGTTATAATGAAATTGACGTTTAAAATCGCTGGTCAAAAATTATATGTCTATCTATTAGTTCATTAAGCTTATTTGTTAACTACAAAAAAACATCGTTGTTTCGATGCATCGATGTTTTCTAAGCGATGTTTTTATACAACAATGTTTTTTTCTATAATGTTCCCTGAACAAAAATAGTTGACAACTCTGGGATTCTCCGAGCGAATCTTAATTTTTGGAGTAGATTGTCTTTAGGCCGCGCAAATGCCGTTTGGTCTGTAGCCCGCAATTTTAACCTAACGACAAATCCTGACGCATTGCAAGTCAAAATACATTAAGCCCGTGAAATCGAAATTTCAAACGTGAAATTTTCGATCACTGTAGCCTCTGAAATAGGAATTTTAAGTATGATTTGTTTATTAAAGCCAAGAATTTTGATTTCATAAAGCTTCAATATAGCCAGTGTTACTCGCGATGCTAAGGTGAATCTAATGATGTCAAAATCCATCGAGTTGTGCGGCCTGTAGCCCATGAAATAGAATTCTTCTCCCAGGCAGTCGTCTAAAAAGCCTTTGAATGTGGATTTAGCAGTGGTATTGAAGATTAGTGAACTTCATGAAAATACTGGTAAAAACAGTAATGGGTATGAAAATACAGCGAAATGGAACATTTTTGTTTCCGCTTTCAGCTTAAAGGATAACTGTGCATATAGTTCATAGTTGAAAAAATGCTGTTTTAATGGGCTGTTCCGCGAAAATGGGTCAACAAATATGATGGCAGCCAAGTAGATAGGCAAGCGCTTACAGCCACGCGGTCACAGAACACCGTTTACGCACAGTACTTTAATGATCTATGGCTATCTAAGCGCTTGGCTACCTACGGCGTAAACATAGCTAATGACATCAGATAGCTATTATGTCTTCTATCTTTCATTTTGCTCTATTGATCTAAAGTAGTGCTGAATTGATTAGAAACATTGATAAGCAGGCATTGTCTCTCAAACAAAACGTTTACATACATTTGACCACCAAAATAGTAAGGAGACAAGGGCAAATTGTCAGCACTTTCTTAAGCTAGATGTAGTATGCATACTCATAGTTGACAGTGAGTGCCATTTAAGTTGATTATATTTCAAATTATATCAAATAAATTTCTAAGAACATCTGTAACATACTGCGTCAATGGCGTAGTGGTAGACGAAATGGGTCTCTAAACCAGTCGCCGTGCGCTGCGCGGGTTCGAATCCCGTCCCAAAAGAAAGTTTCTCTTGGCTATGATGGATATTGTGATTGTCCGTAGGTGGTGGACGGTCTCTAACTGTCGAGCGCGTAGGTACCACCCGACGGATCTCTAGGCGGGGCCGCGTTCCCTCGCTAGAGTTCGTGTGGCGTCTCCCCTCCACCTTGTACCTCCCTATAGCCCCACAGTACCCATGGGTGCTTAGGGCTACGGCCTTTGTGGTGATTCACGCATAAAATTAAAGTGTGATTGCCATACTAATGCCTATGTGTATCTGAATCACAAATATCGTTTTATTTCCCACGCCACTGGCGAGGAGAGTAAAACATAATTTAGAAAATGAGATA